CCCCCCCCCCCCCAGGTCATTGCCGTGGTGGGGCAGCAGAACGTGGAGGGGAAGCGCATCCCGTTCGGGTTCAAGCACCGCACGCTGCCCCACTTCATCAAGGACGACTACGGGCCGGAGAGCCGGGGCTTTGTGGAGAACTCCTACCTGGCCGGCCTGACGCCCACCGAATTCTTCTTCCATGCCATGGGCGGGCGCGAGGGCCTCATCGACACGGCCGTCAAGACAGCCGAGACCGGTGAGGAGCGGGGCACTGTGGGGCGGGGAGTGGGGCAGGGGGCGCTCTCGCACTGGGATACCGCGGCAAGCTGTAAACCCCTCCAGGTCCTGCGCTCACACAGACGTTCGCCCCCAGCTGTGTTGCCATGCTGGTGCCTGTGTAAGAAAAAGCCCCCCCCAAAATCGGGACATCTGGTCACCCTCCAGCCGGGACCCACCTCGCGGCTTCAGTCTCGGTTCCCCAGACGGGTGTCGAGTTGTGGGGGGAGTGTCCCCTCTTTGATCCTTTGCCCGAGAACTCTTGTACCGAGAACTCGTGGGTGGTGAATGTCATGGTGCCAGGGCACTGCTTGGGGGTATCTCCCCGGCAATGCCCCCCACCCCCACCCCCTGCGCTGACGCCCACTTCCCCTCCCCAGGGTACATCCAGCGGCGGCTGATCAAATCCATGGAGTCGGTGATGGTGAAATACGACGCCACCGTACGCAACTCCATCAACCAGGTGGTGCAGCTGCGGTACGGCGAGGACGGGCTGGCAGGGGAGAGTGTGGAGTTCCAGAACCTGGCCACCCTCAAGCCCTCCAACAAGGCCTTTGAAAAGAAGTGAGTGAACCTGGCCCTATGCGTGTGGGGCGCCATTTCCCCTCGCCCCAGAGGTGGCTGCAGTGGCTGCATTGCGGCGCCGGGCAAGGAGTACCTGGGTAACTGGCCGCCAGGCCCCAGAGGTGGCCGCATCTCAGTGCCGGGCGTGGGGTCACTGAATAACCAGCCGCCCCGCCCCAGAGGTGGCTGCATCTCCGCTCTAGCCGAGGGGTCCCTGTGTAACCAGCCGCTCTGCCCCAGAGGTGGCCGCATCTCAGTGCCGGGCGAGGGGTCACTGAATAACCAGCCGCCCCGCCCCAGAGTTGGCTGCATTGTGGTGCAGAAGCTGTACATTTGGGAGTATGGGTGGGGAAAGGTTTCAGAGGGAGGGGTGTGAGGGAGCAGCTCCTAGGGGTGGGTGTGTGGGGAGGTGCCCCCCCCCTGCCCAGCAGCTCTCACTCCTGGCCCTTCCGCCCGCAGGTTCAAGTTTGACTACACCAACGAGCGGGCCCTGCGGCGCACCCTGCAGGAGGAGATGGTGAAGGACATCCTGAGCAACGCGCACATCCAGAACGAGCTGGAGAGGGAGTTCGAGAAGATGCGCGAGGACCGCGAGGTGCTGAGAGTCATTTTCCCAACGGGCGACAGCAAGGTGAGTGGGTCAGCGCGGGACCCAGCAGTCCCAGTCCCCTCCCAGAGCCGGGAGAGAACCCAGGAGTTCTGGCTCCCAGCCCCCCCCTGCACTCACCCACCAGGCCCCACACCCCTCCCAGAGCCGGGAGAGAACCCAGGAGTCCTGGCTCCCAGCCCCCCCCTGCACTCACCCACCAGGCCCCACACCCCTCCCAGAGCCGGGATACACCCCAGGATCCCGGGCTCCCTGCCCCTCTGCTCTGGCCCCCGATCCCCCGCTCCCCTCCCAGAGCCGGGAGAGAACCCACGGAGTCCTGGCTCCCAGCCCCCCTGCTCTGACTCACCAGCCCCCACTCCCCTCCCACGAGCTGGGAGAGAACCCAGGAGTCCTGGTGCCCAGCCCTCCTGCTCTGGACTCTAAACCTCAGGACCTTGCGGTGTGGGGGGAGGCTCTGGATTGTACCATGTGCTGAGCCCCAGTTTCTTCTCCCTCCCCCCCCCCCCCCACCAAGGTGGTCTTGCCCTGCAACTTGCTTCGCATGATCTGGAATGCCCAGAAGATCTTCCACATCAACGCGCGCCTGCCCTCCGACCTGCACCCCATCAAGGTGGTGGAAGGTGGGTCTTCCCCCGGCCCCGTCGAGGGGCCAGCCAGCCCCATGGCATGCTGGGACAGCCGGGGGGGCGGGGGTGTTTCTCTGCAGGGACCCTGGAACTCCCTGGGGGGGGGAATGCTGGCCCGGAGTCTGATCCGGTGCGGGAGCAGTGGGTACTGGCCCGGACAGGCCCGTGGTCTGATCCAGTGCTGGGCATGGGGGGGTACTGCCCGTGGACTGGTCTGATCCGGGTGGGGGGAAGGATACCGGCCTGGGTGGGGACCAGAGTATCTTCCACATCAACATGCGCCTGCCCTCCGACTTGCACCCCATCAAGGTGGTGGAAGGCGGGACGCTGGGAGGCTCCGTGGACGCTGGGGTGACCCCCTGGGCCGCCTGACGCTGTCTCTCCTCCCCCCCCCTCCAGGCGTGAAGGATCTGAGCAGGAAGCTGGTGATTGTGAACGGGGATGACCCGCTGAGCCGGCAGGCCCAGGAGAACGCCACCCTCCTCTTCAACATCCACCTGCGCTCCACGCTCTGCAGCCGGCGCATGGTGGAGGAGTTCCGGCTCAGCGGGGAGGCCTTCGATTGGTTGCTGGGCGAGATCGAGTCCAAGTTCAACCAGGCCATCGTAAGCGCTAGGGGGCGGCGGAGCCGAGGGAGGGAGGGGGGGCCTGGCCTAATGCAGGCCAGGCGGGATGCCGGGATAGATGGGGCCCATCCAGGCGGGACGCCGGGGTGGGAGGCCAGAGGATGGCTGCCCCAGGAGCCGGTCTCCCGGGCTGGTTCCTCCCCCTCTCCGGTTCCGACGCCGTCTCCCCCTCCTGCAGGCTCACCCGGGTGAGATGGTGGGTGCCCTGGCGGCCCAGTCGCTGGGCGAACCCGCCACCCAGATGACCCTGAACACCTTCCACTACGCCGGCGTCTCGGCCAAAAACGTCACACTGGGCGTGCCCCGTCTCAAGGAGCTGATCAACATCTCCAAGAAACCCAAGACGCCCTCCCTCACCGTCTTCCTGCTGGGGCAGTCCGCCCGGGATGCTGAGCGGGCCAAGGTAACGCCATGGGGCTCTGGCGTTGCTTGGGGGGGGGGAAATGGGGGGAGGCTGCATGTAGTCCCCCTCAACCCATCTCTCTCCTGCCAGGATATCCTGTGCCGGCTGGAGCACACGACTCTGCGCAAGGTGACGGCCAACACAGCCATCTACTACGACCCCAACCCGCAGAGCACAGTGGTGGCGGAAGACCAGGAGTGGGTCAACGTCTACTACGAGATGCCCGACTTCGATGTGAGCCGCATCTCACCCTGGCTGCTGCGGGTTGAGCTCGACCGCAAGCACATGACCGACCGCAAGCTCACCATGGAGCAGATCGCCGAGAAGATCAACGCCGGTGAGGGGGACACACACACTCCCTCCCTCCCTCCCTCCAAGGTGGCAGGAGCCTTCATGCCATCCCAGCCGGGGGGGTGGGGGGGAAGCAGAGATGTGTTCCTCACCCCCCCCAATAGCTCTGCTTTGAGGCAGATTCCAATCCACTCTCATGCTTCATGGCTCCGGCCTACAGGGGTCAGGAAGCATTCGTGCAAAATTACACACACATGTTTTGTTTTGTTTTTTCCCCCACCTTCCTCTGAAGAATCAGAGCTCATCCCACAGCAGGAGATGGGTTATGGGGCGGCCCTCTGGGGGAAGGGGGCAGCACAGGGGCGTGGGGGTCTGACCCATGGCGGGAAGGGTGCTGCCGCTGATGGCTCCCCTCCCCACTGCAGGCTTCGGGGACGACTTGAACTGTATCTTCAATGACGACAATGCAGAGAAGCTGGTGCTGCGGATCCGCATCATGAACAGCGACGAGAACAAGATGCAGGAGGTGAGTGACCGGGTTGGGGGGCAGCCCCGGGGTGGGGGGAGATTGGGGAGGAGGGGAGGTGTTGCCTGTTGCTAACCCGGCCCCTCTCCCCATGCGGCGCAGGAGGAGGAGGTGGTGGACAAGATGGATGATGATGTTTTCCTTCGCTGCATCGAGTCCAACATGCTGACGGACATGACTCTGCAGGGCATCGAGCAAATCAGCAAGGTGGGGGGGCCTCTGCCCACCTGGGGGGGTGACAGAGCCAGACTAAGCCTGCCCCAGGGCACGCTGGGTAACTGGGGTAGTGCCGGGGTTGGC